ATGGCTCGAACTGTCCAGGTCTGCTGCCACGGATAGTTGCGCGTGGAGAGGCACCGTACGGAACACCACCGAGGCCGGCTAAATCAGCCATGATCGCAGCCGCAACAAACCAACCAAAAACCAACCTCTAGTCCTAGAATTAGCATACCGGAAGAGATCTGGGATGCTTTATTAAAAACTCGTCTGCGTACGTGTGAAGACTAGCGGGGGTGTGGCGTGCGGGGATTGGTTCAGTTCCCCCAACCACCTAACCCGCGGACATCTCTAGCCGTTTTGATGTCACCTGGCAACATTGTAACGTGCTTGACACGGGAACAGCACGTGAGATAGACGCAATAGAAGCACCCCTTTACGAAAAAGGAATCCCTGCGAAGATCGCCGTTTTCCATCGAGTACGACGGGGGAGGGGGGGTGGCTATCAGCATTTCAGGTGAACCACATATCGACAGGAAAGTAAGCCACAGGCAACACAAAAAGGGTGTCCCTGCGGCGTGCAGGGAAAAGGAATGCAACGGAGTATAGGGTTTGGACAACCAATGATGGAGCAGCCTAAGTAGCTAGCAAGAGATGACTGCACGCCCCTACTAACAAAGCAGCCGATAAGTAGGTGTGAGTAACGGGAAAGGTTGCAATGAGGTAGGACAGTTTGAATAAATTTATATGCAGTGAGCCAAATGTTCGCATGTCAGCTGTGTGTAAATTTAATCAAGAAGAAGGCTCGTCGTTCGCCGAAATTATGGCTTTATTCGTCTGACCTTATGAACTCTTAGTGAATTCCATTGTCGGAGATGAAGGCGAAAACAAAAGCAAGCAGCACTTGTAGAGGGCAACAGACCAATCAAACATCAGTGAAACCGCAGGGCTCTATATTCCAGGGCCAGGTCGATCAATCGACTGACAGAGTTCTCATCGGAGGTTCAGACTACAATCAATCCCCGGTTTGTCTTGAGTCTGGCGTGGGCGATTATCTTCGTGGCTGCGAAGTTAAACTCGTGTCCTGTTTTTTATCCGTCTTACAGCCAGCTTCTGCTCGTGTATGCGCGATTCAAGCATGCGTCCGGTTTGTCTTGTGTAATTTTGAGGACAGTTTCGGCACGTGATGCGATACACTACACCCAAAAGCACACTAGGATTTAATCGGTTCCTGATTATAATGACCCTGCTGCAGATGATAACCTTTGGTCGGTGCGCAATTCCGACGCCCAGTCTCAAATTACCGCCCTCGTTAGGTGGACTTTTTTGCACTCAATTACATCGTGGTGCACACCAATCTAACCCTGACGCCATCCACTGTGTTCGTTAGGTTTAGCAGTCGTTGCTGGATTCGTAGGTTAGCACAAAAATTCCTTGCCGAAAATTGCACAGGGCAAATTAATGACAGAGATCTGTATGTGGTTTTCCACTGAATGAGAGGGGTGTAGGGACGCCTCATTATACAGGAGGCGTTGGGCTAAATTTCAAGGAAATTTGGGAAAGGTGTAAAAGTAGAATTGAGTTAACGTTGGCTTACGATAAGGTTTGGGTGAGTCTTACAATTAGGATACAGGACTTATATTTTTAAGGCGAGTTTAAGTCATTGCGGCCTGTTGGTTAACCTTTTCCGCAAAAGCAGACGGTGATTTTCGATGAGCATGTGCAGTTTGTTCCGGAACACTTTCCAGCCCTCTGTTATGTTTCCAAAAAATAGAGGTTCCCACTCAGTGCGGGTGAGTTCGGCCTCGCGGAATGTTTTTTCTGACTGTTGTGGATCTTTCGGGTAGTGAAAATAGCGAGTACTCCCATAGCAGTGCAACGTGGTCACTTCTACCTAGCGGTGGTAAACATAACACTTAGTCGAGACTGTCCTGCGATTTCGTGAGAACGAGGTCCAGCCAATCAGCCTGTTGGCCGTCACGCAACCTTGTTGGAAACGTGACGTGCTGTGTGAAAAATAACTTTCGCTTCATGCTCAGAAGGCAATTGACAGAGGCAAGCTACAACTGCCCTGAAATATATTATAATGCCACTTGTTATACGCAGATAAATAAACGATTCCCATCAAATATATTGCATTCAAAATGAATTTGCCTCAATCCAATCACATTAAAAAAGGAAAACTTAAATCACACGGATCCCAGTAACAAAAATCCATTAAATAATTTAAAAAACAACAAATTTAGCCATCGTCGATTACCTTAAAGGTGGGCTTCCAATGAAATACACAGCTTTCGCCGGTTCCATAGAAGTGCAGACTGCAGCGCATGCGTTCAGACAGCACTGCGCCGAACGTGGTGTTGGTTGTGTCCCGGATTAACAAAAGGACCACATTTTTTACCTCCTCCGTCTTCCGATAGAGACTATTGAGAGAAAATCCATCATGGTCGGTGGAGAATACGGGCCGCATGCCGTAGCCGACCCAGTGCAGGGGTAGACCTTGTGACAGCTGTAGAAGCGAAAGATTCGCCCATCAACACGCGAACAGCCAAAAGGCCAAAATACATACCTTTCGGACTAACCGCAAGTTGGAAAAATACCAAAATCTAAGCTGGTGAATTAAGAGGATTTCTCAAAGGGACCTTATTCGGTCATCACAATAAAAACTCGCCCAACACATCGTACAGCATTTCCATGATACTGCAAGACTTAACATAAAGCGGCACGAATAAATCGCACTATACACAGATAAAAAAGTGACGAAAAGGCGTCACAGGACAAGACTAACTCTTGTCCATGTTACATAAATTGCTGTGTGACTTTGGTAGGTTACCACATTATTGGGGTTACGGGCTATTGGCTTGGACCGTGTTATATGGCCATATCGCTAGCCCTAGTATTGTCCGGTGTTTGAGTAAATCGGATAGGATATAAACGCGTTGGATATCTCATGTGCAGCTATGCGTCGTTGAAACCACCGTGAAAATATATAAGTGTCAATCGTACTGCTATTGGTGCGTACTTTGGTTGCGCGTAATGCTTCCAGTCACAATGACAGTCTCCCAGTGCATACAGAACTATTCTGGTGTTCTCACTAGCTCCCCCCACAAAGCGCAGTCCTTTTAGAGTTTGTTGAATTTTAACAAACAAAAACGGTTACCGGAAAGCAGACAAGGAAAGCTGGGGCCCCACTAATGAACCGGACCCTTCGCAGCTGTGTTAACCAGCGGCAGAATACCGGCGAAACACGTGTCTGAGTCTTTAAGCCAGTACCTGGGCTGTTGGTATGGCAAGTTACAACAGCAACAACGTTTACATAATCTTTTAACTATTGCGTACCTATAACGCTGTTTCAGCAATTTTTGGGGTTTTCATCGGTAATCTCACGACTTGCAACAATGTGGCTTTGCCTAGGACTCCTTCGTTGATTTCGAGGTGTAGCTCAGATATATTTGCCTAACCTCCATAGTGGGGCAAAAACAAATGCACCATCTTCATAGGGCATACTATGCACAATTTACAAAATGCTAAAAAGACCGAGGAAGAAAACGTACATCGTGGAGCATCTCGTCGTCAAGTATGACACTGGTCGACCCACCGAGGGAAAGTTCGAAGGGTATAGACTCCATGTCATCGAGGGCCTTTTCCACCATGCTTCGGCAAACATCGGGGTCCCGAGTCTGGAATTAGTAGGGTAAAATACGAAAATTCAGTAGTGCGAAGAAGCACGTAGTCTTGACATAAGGTAGGCCGGCAATCATGAAACTGAGCGGAAGTAAACGCGATTGCTGGAGCAAGACTTTTATTTGACCTACATTTTAGATTCATTCTCGAACCCATCACCAGAGACAGTATCAGATATAGGTAATGTATACACAGCACATGGAAGGATGCAGTAATTACGCTGCCGCAGATCTCTGACAATTAACGAGCCCCACCTTCGCCGACAATACTTGCCCTTTAATGTGATAATGGCCTGATGGCCGGCATTCGATTAATCAGTCGTTGGAATTTAATAATTTGTGTTGGCCGTCAACGTGACAATTGCTCGGCTACCTGCCTCATAGCCACCGGTGTCTAAAACTGTTCGTCAGCATTCTCCCGTGTGACTAAAGCAAGCAAATAGACCACTTAATGAATCTTCAATTGCGATTTGTGTTTACTTCATCTTCCCGTTTATATCTCCTATATTACAATCTAAAGTAGTGCCCTTCATCTGATCATTCTCTACAGTGAACTATGACCCTGTTATGCATTGACATTTTGTGCAAATTCGAAGTCCTGTATGCATTTATTCGTTATGTATACTATGCAAAGACGGATTGTAGTTGATAAATCCTTACAATAGTTTTTGGAACTAATAAATCCTGCCTTAAATCCATACCTAGGAAGAATGCTTTAAACTAATTACTTCGTCGAAGGAAAGTCGCAGCAGCGAATATAGGGCAGGCCTGGCATTCAATGAAAGCCCGCAAGACAGTAACTCATTGCTAAAATAGTCCGCGGCTCATGGGATTATCACCACACGTGGGAATTTCGGCCTCGTTGACATTGCATGTGCCTGCCGGATTTTGCCAAACGAGCTGCAACCCAAGAACTGACGTCATTTCTCCGCACAACTGCCAGTGTTACCACCCCTGCCCTTCGCCTAAGCAATCATTGCTAACTGAAGACATTTCATACCTACTGCATAATTTACTAGTTACATTAATTCTTGATGCCTACACAGTAGGTGACAAGTCCCACGAAGCACTGGCCTAACCTTTTAAAGGCTTTTAAACCGATAAGGTTACTGCATAATTTCAATCAAACATCAGAACAAGGAGAGACACAAGCAAGGCATCTGTAGGAGACGGCGTAATTAGATTCTCTCCGCAGCAGACAATTTACCGGCTCGGGCGAAAGCCTGATGCTGGGGTTGGGGGAGAGAGTGAAGTCGACGGCTCAGCGCACTTTCCGCATTATAAACAATCAGGCGCGCTTGAAGCTGTGGCTTGGAAGGTTGCCAACTGACGGGATAACTGGGAGCGAGTGGGTAGTCCAGTGTATTTTGGCCGAGTGAGAGCCAGGCTGCAGTAGCTCCTTCCTGTTGTGTTAGATTGACCATCGCAAACGAAGATGTCCACTATTTGCCCCAGAGCAGGGACGGTGACTGTGGTCAGGTATAGTTAAAGTAGATGCGCCGCCGTCTACCACACTCTAGACCCTCTCCTCTGCATCAGACGGTGACAAGACAATGTCGAGATGACCGAGCAGGAATCGGGCGTAAGCCACCTTCTCCAGATGCAGCCAGAAACACCGCCCAACTTAGCCCTTAGTTACAGTAGACTTTGCGCGGGTACT